CAATTTATGAAAAGAGATCCATATTTGTGCCCATTCCAAAGAATGGAATGTAGAAATCATCAGATAATATTAATATTGCATAGAAGTAAAATTTTGCTAAAGATAGTACAAAAACGGCTGTCATCATACATCCACAGAAAACTTGTAGAGGTTCAAGCCTGATTCAGAAGAGGATGTAGAACAAGGGATACCATTGCTGATGTCATTTGAATCTGGCCTGAAATCAGGGAATACCAGAAAGATGTTTACCTGAGATTTATTGAATCATGACAAGCTATGGACAACATTGCATAGAATAAGTATTCTGGAACACTTAATTGTGCTAATAAGGAAATTGTAGATAGAATCAAAGGCAGTTGTTTGAACAGAGCAAGGGAACACGAAATGGTTTAAAATTATGAAAGGAGTGTGCCAGGGTTGTATTCTTTCAGCATACTTACTCAATCCATATGCTAAGCATATAATCCAAGAAGTTGGATTATATGAAGAAAAACATGGCATCAGATTTGGAGATAGACTCATTAACTGCATGTGATATGCACATAATTCAGCCTTGCCTCCTAAAAGTGAAGAGGACTTCAAATACTTATTGATGAATATCAAAGACCAAAGCCTTCGGTATCGGTTGCATCTCAATGTAAAGAAAACAAAAAATCCTCACCACTGGACCAATAAACAAAGACTTCATTTTGCTAAGATCAACCATCCACACTAATTGCAGCAACTGTCAAGAAATCAAAGGAAGTATTTCATTAGGCAGATCTGATCCACAAAACCTCTTTATAATGTTGAGAAGCAAATATATCTGTTTGAGGTCTAAGGTATACCTGATCCAAGCTATGGTATTTTCAATAAACTCATATGGATGTGTAAATTGGACAATGAGTAAAGAAGACCATTGAAGAATTGATGCATTTGAGTTATGATGTTGGAGGAGAATATTAAAAGTTCCATGGACCACTAAAAAGAACCCATAGATCTGTCTTGCAAGAAGTACAACAAGAATGTTCCTTGGATGCCTGGATGGCCAGACTTTGTTTCTCATATTTTGGACATATTATCAGGAAGGATCAGTCCCTGGTGAAGGGTATCACGATTGGTAAAGTGGAGGGTCAGAGGAAAAGAGAAATCCCCCAACGAGATGGACTGGCAGAGTGGCGGCAGCAATGGGTTCAGGCATAGCAACGATTGTGAGGTTGGCGTGAGGGTGGGCAGTGTTGTATTCTGCTATTCATAGGGTCTCTGTGTGTTGGTACAGACTCAATGGTACCAAACAACAACTAACATCAAGGAAAATCTGTTCATATAATATTAAATTTATGCATCAATCACTAAAGCCAGTGATGATGAACTTGAAGAATTCCACCAACTTCTTCAACCTGAAATTGATCAATCATGTCAAGATGTATTATCAACTACTGACAATTGGAATGGAAATGATGGAAACAAAGGTGAATGATAAGTTGTTGGAAAATGTGGTCTTGATTGAAAAGATGCTGGAGATCACAGGATCGGATGGACATCCTAGCTCTTTAACACTTTAAAAGGGCCTTACGCTTCAGATTTGCCTACTGTAATATGTTGTTTGCTTTCTTGAATGCAGCTTCCATGAGTGTTGATAGAGAATCCAAGTAAAACAAAATCTTTGACAACTTCAGTATGTTCTCCATTTGCCATCATGTTCAGTTGTGAGGATTTTTGTTATTTTCACATTGAGGTACGGTCCCTACTGAAGTCCATGATCTTCATCAGTAAGTACTTCATGTCCCCCTGGCATTAGGATGCCACAGATGATACTGTTCATGTCACAACAGTGATAAAATGTGGAAACCAGAAGTGCTACCCAGAAAAATCTCATGTTTTAAACTGAAAATATTAGTTTCATGTTCATTTTTCCTAACAGAAGTGTAACACTCTGTTGCAGACCGTGCAGACTCGGTCAGGAGTTCGAGGCTCTGTGGGCCCGAGTGTTGCAGACCGTACAGGCCGCAGGCTCTGAGGAACAGACTCTAGCCACCTAGCAGTTATAGCACTGTTTTTCATCTTAGTATTCAGTTAGGTTTATTATTAAGTGCATATATGAAGCCCTGATATCCACAGATAAATGTAAT